CAGTGGTGCCGCCCGCATGCGTCACCCCCGCCCAGTACAGCGTTTCGTGGCCCCACAGGGACCTCCACCGAAGGCCCCAGTGGTGCCGCCCGCATGCGTCACCACCCAGCACAGCGTTTCGTGGCCCCACAGGGAGCTCCACCGAAAGCGGCACCCGCAATGCGATATTCACAACTGCACATGGTTGGGTCCTTCGCCAGGAAAATGTTTGAATGCAAGTTTTTTATACTGATTCATCTACGAATTGATATGCATGATTGATATTCATGATTGATTTACGAGTTTTTCTTTTATACATGAGATTGATATACGGGTTGTTTTTGATACAAAATTCTTCCCTGCCTTTTCCCTACACGATCCGCACGCGGAGCACGTATCAACAACGGCACTGTATGCTCGGTGATGTTGGCGCCCGGAACATCGGCGGGGGACAGACCTCCCTGTAGTAGACCTTCCCTTAGTGTTAACTCGGGCCTGTCCCCCTACAGAAGGAATTTTCGATGATAAATAAAGAATACACAGAAAATGCGCAAAAAAGGTCAAAACATCCGCCGGCCCCCTTGTGGGGCCACCAGGCTGTAGGCCCCTGATTCGCAGTTTCCTGTACCAGTCGTAGGTTGTAGTTTCCAGTGCTACAGTTCTGCTTCTTGCTGGTTACTGTAACTAGTTGACTTATTGCTGGTTACTGTAACTAGTTGATTGACCGCGCGAGGGGGGGGAGGCCCAAAGTGGCTTTTTAGCGTCCCCTGGGCGCGTTGTCTGAATTGCTGGGGGGGCTCGAAATCGATACCCCTCACGCAGATCCGCGGGGTCAGGGTCCAAAAACATATGGGATTTGCCACATTTCTGAAATTCGGTGCCACCCCTCACGCAGATCCGCGGGGTCAGGGTCCAAAAACACAGGGATTTGCCACATTTCTGAAATTCGGTGCCACCCCTCACGCAGATCCGCGGGGTCAGGGTCCAAAAACACAGGGGATTTGCCACATTTCTGAAATTCGGTGCCACCCCTCACGCAGATCCGCGGGGTCAGGGTCCAAAAACACAGGGATTTGCCACATTTCTGAAATCGTACCACCCCTCACCCAATCCGCGGTGCCACCACACGGGATCACGCAGCCACCCCTCACGATCCCGGGGTGAAATTCACCCGGGTCCAAAAAAACACTGTGATTTGCTACATTCTGAAATTCGGTGCCACCCCTCACGCAGATCCGCGGGGTCAGGGTCCAAAAACACAGGGGATTTGCCACATTTCTGAAATTCGGCGCCACCCCTCACGCAGATCCGCGGGGTCAGGGTCCAAAAACACAAGGGATTTGCACATTTCTGAAATTCGGTGCCACCCTTCACGCACATCCATCGCAAGGCGTGGTAACCCAAACTGCGAGAACTCCCTCGGCCCTTTAATCGCAAGGTGTGGTAACCAAGCCCGTAAACCATACACGTCTTACCAATCGCCAGGTGTGGTAACCCCTCTTGTGATCAGTTGGTTTTGCTGATTGCGAATCGGCTTCGCATGAAGTTTCGATACTGCTTCACGACAGCGCCAAGGCCTCATGACTTAGCTCTTCCATGGCCCATTCTCCGAGAGAGGGGGCCGGCGGCAGGGGGCGAAGCCCTTACGGATAATTATCCCAGTGCGACCCTACCTAGGATTTGGAGCATTTAGGAAAACAACATCTACATTTACACCGACAGCTACATGTACATCTACACCTGCATCTACATATACATCAACATCATCAGCGAGAATCACATCTGCATCTACATCTACACCTACGCTCGGCTGCGCTGTGTTGTGCTAGGCTATGCTAGGCTATGCTATGATGCGCTATGCTATGCTGTGCTATGCTATGCTATGATATGCTAGGCTATGCTATTACATGCTGTGCTGCGCTATGCTATGCTATACTAGGCCATGATATGATATGATATGCTGCGCTGTGCTATGCTATGCTATGCGATGCTATGGTATGATATGTTATGCTATGATATGCTGCGCTATGATATGCTATGATATGATACTATATGATGGTATGCTATGTTATAATGAGCTATACTGTGCTATGCTTGCTATGCTTGGCTATGCTATGCTATGCTATGCTTTGATGTGTTACTCCTGCGCTGCGCTATGCTGCGCTGCGCTAAGCTATGTCCAGCTATGCTAAGCTAAGCTAAACTAAGTTAGGCTAGGCTAAGCTAAGCTAAGCCAAGCCAATATGAGCCAAGCTAAGCTACGCTAAACCAAGCTAAGCGAAGCGAAGCTAAGCTAAGCTAATATGAGATAAGCCAAGCTAAGCTAAGCTAAGCTAAGCTAGGCTAGGCTAGACTAGGCAAAGCTAAGCTAAGCTAAGGTAAGCTAAGATGATATAAGCTAGGCTAAGCTAAACTAAGCTAGGCTAGGTTAAGCTAAGCTAAGGTAAGCTAAGCTAAGCTGGGTGAACCCAGGGGGTGCAACTGGGGGAACCGCGGGGCGGGTACTGGGGGAACCGCCCAGGGCGGGCCCCACTGCCCAGCCCTTTAAGCAAACATAGTAAGAACCCTTCCAGGCAGAGCCTAGGTAGGGAATACAAACATAGTCCCCAGACTATTTTTGGACTTTGTTTTGATCAATTTTAAAGTATGTTTTATTTTCGTCGAAAATCCCCCTGTAAGGGGACAGGCCAAACCTCCCCTCAGTGAAAACGGCCTGGGGCCGAAACCGACGGACCTGGACCCGCAAAAATGACGGCCGCGACGCCCTCTCGCGAACCGAAAACGGCCAATTCCTTCATCGACGCGTCACGGTAGGAGGTCTGTCCAACCCCGAGAAAAGGGTACGGAGAGCACGGGTGAGATGCCACACAAAAATCCCAACAACGAATAACCGACGGCGGTCACTGTTGGGCAGCAGGCCTTTTGCCTCAAAAGGCACAACATCGGGGAGGACACCGACAGCGAGCCCTGCTGAAAATGAACAGGAACTGCAGTCGGCCCTCTTACCCATTCTGTCCGTGCCCTCTCGATGATACCCAGGCGAGCGCCGGCCTGGCATCGCACTGCTGAGTCACGCACCCCAGCAGATTTTGGAGTCCCGAAACGGTGCGGTGACAGACCGTGCGGTGACCTCGAAATCCCCGAGGACCTCACCGCACGGTCCGTCAGCGCACGGTTCTGGGACCTCGGAGTGCCCCCGTCGTCCGAGACACCCTCGGGGAACGACCCGAGTCCCAACACCGTGCGGTGACCCCGAATCCCCACCGACTCACCGCACGGTGTGGTCACCACCCCGTTTGGGGGCCCGGCGCCTCGGGAGGAGGAGGAGGAGGAGGAGGAGGAGGAGGAGGAGGAGGAGATGCAGGACCCGCGGTGCGGCGGCCGTCCTGCCCCCCCCGGCCCCCCCCGGGAAGAGAGCCCCTCGCACGCTGCTTCCGCGCGCCGCGCACGTAAAGACAGAGAGGGGGGTCTGCCGCGCCGCGCGACTGGGCGCGCATGCGAGCCTGCCTGGCGGTGCGAGTGCGGTCAGTTCCAGTGTGGTCTTGAGGGGGCAGCGGAGGTTCAGGGAAACGTGAGACTCGGGTTTGGGGGACGCGGGTTGGCCTGACGAAGCCGTCCATAGGGGAACAGAAAGTGGCATAAACATAAAAACTGAGAGGTCCGCGAGGTTCTCTCAAATCGGCGCTGGAACCCCCTCCCTGGCGCGCGGAGCGCGCCAGGGGCGGCGCCGGAGGCGCCGCCGGGGGGCCCCAGCGCAGATCCGAGAAATCCGCGCGGACCTCCGAGTTTTTATGTTTATGTCACTGCTTGTTCCCCTTTTCAGGGAAACGTTAGACTCGGGTTCGGGGGACGCGGGTTGGCCTGGCGAGGCCGTCCAGAAACCCCCGCGATGCTCGAAGTGGAAGTTGCCGCGACCCCCCCGCTGCAGGCAGCCCACTAGATCTGGACCGTCTAGATCCTTGGCGGGCTTCTCAACTTCAGTCTCGCGTGCTCCCGCGAGGTGCACGGGGAGCCCGACGGCTCAGTCGAGCTGTCTAATTGCGTTGGCTCCTGCCCCTACCCAGACTCCTGGACATATCCGTGCGGCTCGATGTGAGCCTGCTGCCACTTCACCACATTCTGCTGCTGCTGCTGCCCCTGCTGCCACTGCCTTCTGTCTGATGGCTCTGACTCTGACCCATACCCAAACACCTGGACAACCTCGTGCGGCTCGCTGTGAACCTTCTCCCACTACACCACAGTCTGCAACGTACTGCTGCCCATGCCGCCACTGCCTCGGACAGGTAACCCTCGGGTTCGTTGGTGTGTACTTGGGGACGCCCCACCGCCCCGTTCCACTAACTGGAATTGGCGTCACCCGAAAAAACACCAGCTACGGCAGACCTGGTTTAGTGATTCTGGCCAATCTAGGGGCGCCATGGCCCTACCACAAACCAGGTCCCCTTACCTGGGGTCCTGGCTATACCCGAAACCCGCTCCCTGGTGCGTGCCCGTTTGCACCCGTGTTTGCACTCTTGCCGGCAGTGCTTCATTCTGCCAGCAAGCATGCAAGCTCTCGACCAAGAGACTGCACAGAGGGTGGGCGAGACAGATAGCCCCACCCCATCACAGCGGGTGCCGCTGTCGATCCTCTAACTGATGCTGGCCCTTCTACGCTCAGATCGGGCATGTCCTCCTGCAGGCGGATCTTGAAAGAACATAAAAACGCAGCGAAACATCAGAAATAGTCAACCAAAAACACGAAAGATCGTCGCCAGGCTATATCTTTTAACTATCCTTGGATACTCTTCCTGCAGAGGGACACGCCCGACTCAATTCTACGCTGAGGTCGGGCATCTCCCCCTACAGGCGGATTGTGGACGAAAAATAAAACATGCCCGAACAAGAATTAAGAGATTGTCTAAAAAAAATAAAATTCGTCCCTGTCTATTTCTCTTCACTCCTTTTGAGTGTTCCTCCTGCAGAGGGGCATGTCCGACTTGGAATGCTACGCTCTCCTCGTCGCCTCCCCGGCGGGGCGCCTCGGAGAGCCACCGCACGCGCTGGCCGTCCTGCCGCGGGGAGGCAGCGAGGAGGCGGGGAGGCTCTGCGCAGGGACCGGCCGTCCCAGCATTCCTGGCAGGCAGACCACGAACTGTTCTGCCCAGAAATGCGCTGAGAACGAGAGCAATGCTCTCAGAACATACACAAGCCTGGCGTGCCAAGACAAGACGGCCGCAGCCAGGAATGTCCTCAAAACATGTCGCAGAAGCCACAAGCGGTTCTTAGAATATTGTTTGGCGGGCCTCTAGGCACGCCAGGGCGCTTCGCCACTGCTTGAAGGACGGAGGCGTGGAGGAGGGAGGTGGAGGGTCAAGATCGCCAGGTCGCGACCCAGCTATCGAAAGTCCATTCTCTAGGAACTGGTTTCTTTTCAGAACGGCCGAAGCCCTCCCGAAACCCTCCGAAAAGCATCCGGGAAGGCTTCTGGGAGGCTTGTCGGAGGGTTCTGGGAGGGTTTTCGAAGGGTTTTCGTGGTCCCAGGGCGGAACCAATCCCTGGCGACCCCTGGACTTGCGGAACCTGGCTCATCCTCTCCCCCCTCCAACACTCCTCCAAGCGATCGCCGTTGGCAAAGGGAGCAGGGGGAGCAGCCGGACGAGGCGGGAGGGACAGAGAAAGGGAGGGGGAGAGGAGGGGGAGAGGCTGCAGCGACAGGGGCAGGAGCCGAGCATCTTCCTCCGGGTGGATGGCCAAGGGTAAAGTCTGAGATGCCGCTTCGATCGATTTTCTTCGAGGTCTGCATCTTTCAAAAAGTAAGTCACAAGACGGACTGGTTCTCGAGGTGCAGAAGCCCATATGGAATTCACCCTGAGCCCTTTCCCCGGAGAGAATGCTCAGGGGATCGGGAGGACGAGGGGCAACGAGCAGTGAGGGAGGAACGCTCAGAGGAACGGGAGGACGAGGGGCAACGAGAAAGGAGGGAGGGACGAGATCATGGAAGACCAGGCTGAGCAAAGCGGCTATGAGCAGAGTCTCGGCAGGGCGTGCCCGTCGGACGAGGAGGCGCCCGCGGCTCCGGGCTCCCATCGCGGAGGGTGCCACAAGGGGCGTCCACCAAAGCGGGCGGGAAGGAGACGGAGGAGGAGGAGGAGGAGGAGGAGGAGGAGGAGGAGAAGGAAGAGGAGGGGGAGGAGGGAGGAGGCGGAGGAGGAGGAGGAGGAGGAGGAGGAGGAGGAGGAGGAGGAGGAGGAGGAGGAAAGAGAGGAGAAGAGGAGAGAGGAGGAAGGAGAACGAGGAGGAGGAGGAACACAAGGAGGAGAAGGTGGATGAGGAGCAAGAAAGGTCAACGCCAAACCGGTGTGGTGACAGACCGTGCGGTGACGTCCGAACCCAAAGAGACCTCACCGCGCGGTCCAGCACCGCACGGTCTTGGGACCCTGGAGGCCCCAATTGCCCGAGACATCCTCGGAGAACGACCCGAGTCCCAACAACCGTGCGGTGACACAGAATCCCCACCGACTCACCACACGGTGCGGTCACCCCCCTTTGGGGGGCCCCCGATATGTAGACGGCCCGCGGCCGCCGCTCGCGCGCCGTCGGGGAGGAGGCGAAGCGGGAGTCCTGCCACTCCCCCTTGCGGAGGTCGCCCTTCGCCGTCTTGAAGGTGCCCACGCCGTGCTGGCGGCCCTCCTCGGTGCCCAGAGCGCGGTGGGGGGGGGCAAGAGCTTTCCCCCAGAGTCCTCCTCCTCCTCCTCCTCCTCCTCCTCCTCCGCCTCCGCCTCCGCCTCCGCCTCCGCCTCCTCCTCCTCCTCCTCCTCCTCCTCCTCCTCCTCC